GTCCGAATAATTCAACGTGAAAACCGGTACTTTTCACAAGAGATAAAAGAGCCTTTTAGTGGTGAATCCAAAATCAGCTCTTTGCCAAAGCTACGTTTTTTTTAAACCCATTTTAGGGTGATATTGAGTACTTTACTTACCAAAAAATCATATCCATCACTCTATATCTGAGCAATAACCAGTGGTTTTTCCTGTTTCTTTTTCTTTTTATAATTTCATTTCTTATAATTTTAACACTTTCTTTTCTTTTTTTACACTTATGTATATATGTGATTGAGAGTCCCTCTCTCTTTCTATGGAATAACAAGAATTTTAATCTTTTTAACTCCAACTAACTCACTCCACTATTTATCTATCATTTCTAATAACAAAAATTTTGTTTTCCATTTTTTTTTCTTTGTTACAAGCATTCATCATGATTGCTCAGGACGGTAGACTCTCGCTATCTGCAGGGGTATCGTTATCATAGCGGATATTAGGAAAAACTTCTAATTTCAGGCTTTGAAGCATTTTCTTCTAGCTGCGTACCAATCAGGCAACTTCTATACCGTGTATGCCTATCATCCCTGTTATCTAAGAACTTATGTACATATATTTCAGGATTTTTTTCAATAAGAAAAATACAATGTATGGTTACATACATACACGTTTCACCACATTCCCACACTCCTTTAGAAATCACTAATGGGGAAACCATATTCAATCAGTTAAGGTGGTGGAGTACATGATATTCCTCCATCATCCTTTACACCAATTATATAACTAACCTAATTGTTATTAATTTTTCTAATTGAGGTCGATTGGGTACTCAATATTCCACCATCGGCCTTTTCACACTACACATTCATGGTCATAAATACAATCACTATCAAAACACTAGACGCCACAAAATAATACATATATCAGTACTATATACATTAAAACAGCCCTGTTTCCTCCAAAAATCGGAACAGGGGACACAAATACTCGCTGCCGTGCACAATTGTCATATTTGCTGGCATTCCTATACGCTCACTATATACAGCCAAGGAATGGTGCCCGTCAATTAAGTGGGACACATCAAAACAATTTTTCTCTAAATGCCAGACAAATACATGGGCTTTGATCTGAAAGTAAGTGTCCGTGTGTCAATCTCGCATAGCATAAATCTATACATATTTTTTAAATTTAGGTTTTTTCATTTTTAGAACTGTTTGTCTGTATTATCATGGTGCGGTTTCTGGGCTTTTTTGAAACTACCCTCATTTATAAAATACATACGTGTACAAACATGTAAACATCAGCAAAGGCCAAAGATTTTGTATTCATGCAGTATAAATTGAAGAAAAAAAGAAAAAAAAAGCCTACTGGCTATAAACAGCAACGGTTAGATCTCTGGAGTACTAGTACAGTGGTCAAAAACCTTAGAACAGTCACAAGATCAATTTAAGGAATTACAGATTGGGAATGGCGCACGGATGGCATACAAAAGTGCAAACAAACTAAAGCATGCGGAACTGAACAAATAGACGGAGAAAAAAAATGACCTCAACAATTCAACTAGGCAAGTCAAAATCTACCTCCCACTCAGCAGGCAATAATTAGGAAAATAAGGGGCTTTTATACTAACCATTGTAAATTGAATTACACTCGAAAATGGGCAAACAAGCAGAAACACTCTCACGAAAAAGCAGACTTATGAACACAGTGTGACCACAAAGCCTAAAAATCATACAGCAACTTTCGAACAGCAATACTAACATCAAGAGAAATAAAAAAAGAACACCAAAAAGCACTTAAATACCTTAAGTGAATATGCTTTTCTGGGCTTGTTAATAAATAAGGATCATATACACAATAGAGGTTTTAGAAGTAAAAAGAAAGGGAAGTTTGGTCACCAGTGACCCTGAAGAGAGAAAAAAATTAAATATTTGTATTTACTATGTTGCGTTTCAACAGAATTTTTAAATTATTCTTTTTATGTAAGGTCTTGGTAGATAACACCAACTTTTTCAAAAAGAATACTTAATTGAAATAATCAATTTGGTCAATTAGACCACTAAACATAAATGGATTAATATTTAATAAGTAAATAAGTATCACTTCACTAACAGCTCCCTGTGCCGCTTCATAAGTCACTGAGATTCGAATCCTGACTACACAACATTTGTAAAATTGCAAAAAGAAGGAAAATTAGGATAGCTCATGTGGTGAGCAAAGCTACGAGCCGAAGGTTGTGGGTTCAAATCCCACTCGAGACACTAACTTTTTCATCTCAACCAAGATCTTACATAAAAAGAATAATTAATTGAAATGAACCATTCCAAACATAAATGGATTGTTTTTAAACTTTTGCAGATTAGTCTCATAAAACACTGTTTTTTAAAGTTGGAAAATAAAGTAAAAGACCCTGGTTCGAATCCTGCGGGCCTGAATTACAAATGGGCTTTTTTTAAACACCAGAACCCCGAGGGTTTAATTTAACCTCATAGCTGAAATACCCTCGAGAAAAAAAAGACAAAAAACTGGACGGCGCTAGAGGGCCAACACTTATGCAATACAGATACGCGTTGCTGGTTTAGCCTATTCGATTGATATAAGGCAGTGTAAATTGTAATTCTTAAAATTTTCAAGTGTTGGAAAATTAAAGCACAGTAATCCCTTAACACTCGTGGTTTTGACATTGCGGTTTTCACTATTCACATATGAAAAAAAGGGGAGTAAGTCCAATTTCTTTATTCGCAGAGAAAAAACAGTTGCGTAAACAATTTTATTTCCGTATCGAAAATAATTCTTTAAAAAATGGATTGGAGGCTGGAGCCATTGATTCTCAGAAAACTTTTGCCTTCTTTCGTCTCAGTTAGTTTTATTCTCTCATTGGTCATGTCGCAAAATGCCTCCTCTTCCAAAACAGAAAAAAAAACTGTCCTGACCCTTGGTGAAAGAATAAAAATTTTGGTCGTTAATTTTTTAATTTTTTATGCAGGCCAAAGCTTTTCTTCAAAACAGCTCAGTAAAATTTTAACGTTGAGGGACCAACTTATTAAAAAAGCAATTTATTTCGACCCATCTTTAAATCGAAGTTTTAAGTTAAAAAGGGATTATTTGGAGATTGTGAGATGCGTTCTGATATGTCGTAGGTTTAGAAAAACATTTTCTTTATCGTGCCAACGTTTCTTTCTTTTTCTGAGATTATCTTCAAGGCCTGGGATTTATAAACATTGTTTCAACTATACAAATACATGTAGGTTGTGAAAAAATGAATTAGAGTCAATGAAAGTATTTGTACTCACTCAAAGTGTTTGTTTTCTGCGTAATTGTGTCATTGTTGTGTGTCGTGTTGAGAGTGCTAGTGAGATATTGTATAAATCATCATTGCATAAATTCAATGTTGTATAATTTAAACAATGTTTATAAAGATCGAAACATGGGCACGATAAAGAAAATGTTTTTCTAAAACCTACATCACACCAGACCACATCTCCAAATCCTTATGTGGAAATTCTTAAAGAAATTAATTATTCAGCGAAACAGCATACAATTAAGTTATTTTTTTCCTTGCACATTAAAAAATACAAACAATGAAAACAATTAACATGTTCAAACACTGTAATGTCTTCAATTAAGTTTATTTTGAATAAATTGTTTTTTGTTTTGTTTTTAATTCTAAATTATATCTCAATTTTTGGCATCATAGAACGTAACCCTCCTGATAGCATAGGAAAATAGACAACATTCACGGAAATTTTCTATACCCAAACACCCACAAATTTTAAGGGATTACTGTATAAATAGCTAATAAGATTATGTGTACATATTTCATACTAACTGTATGCATATCTGTGTGTATATAATGAATGTATTCAATTTAAAAACACATTTGTGGATATTTTGTGGTATATCTTTATGTTTTGTATATATTTTCAGTTAATTTTGTGCGTGTTATTTGTAAGTTCTAATAAGGGTTAAAATATAGTAATAAGAAAAACTCACCCACTTAGTAGATCCATTTGTGCGATTATTTTCCATTCTCACTTCATCTGGGTTTTTAATTTATGCATTTTATTTTTTATTCTCTCCTGTCACTCACCTTTTGATTATCCTGTTTAATAAAAATTCATTTTTATCATAAAGACCAAATAATTTTTTGTTTTGTCCTTTGGTAAAAACCTGCAATTCTGTTTTAACGTTTCTTACATAAAAGTCAAATTTTGTTTGTTCGGACTTTAAGCAATATACTTTTTTTCTTTTGATTTTTGAGTTTAATGCAATCTTTTTTTTTCTACTTTGACATCAAACTCAAGAAAAAATATTTTGCTTATGCCCTTTGGGGGGATGAAAAAATGTCTTTTTTCCCCCCAAGTAAATGTCCACCACTAGCCAAAGGAGAGAAACAACAAGATAGAAGTTCACTTATCACAGTTCACAACAAGACCCGTCGGCCCATAATTGATCCACGGCTTTTACAAGGACGGCTTGGTCGGAAGAGGAAATATACACATGTGCACAATGCAAAAGAGGAAAAGTTACAAAATAAGTATAAAAATTATTATAGTCGACAATTAATTAAATTTAAGATATTTAAAATAATTAAATTAGTAATTAATTGTCAATAAAAGTGTATGATTACTTTTTCAGGCAGTTAAAAGTATGTAACATGATTTTTTTGCAAGTACAATTAAACAGTTAAATTTTTTTAGGAATTGAGGACTGTAGGAAGGAAATAGTTTCTAAAGCCGTCAGATGAGACAAATTAAAAGCCGATGGCGCTTTGAAATTGCTTGGAAGTCCTTTAGAAGTCGAAAGCCGGTCGGGCAGACGACCCGTTGACACTCGTCTTTCCAAGTGTCCTGTGCATACAAAATAAATAAAGATTGAATATCCATTACCACGAGAACTCACACACAGACACACTGTCCTTTTTTTTAACCTTAGAAAAAGTCTTTCAAGAGATTGTGACATAAAATAGAAATAATATTTGTAAAAAAAAGAGGACGAGGTTGTTGAAAATAAAGTCCATGGTTATTTTTTCCGCATTTGCAGAGCTATGAAGAGATCTTGAAATCAGAACTTCAAAAAAACAAGATATATCTTGACAATTGACTGACACTATATACAAATTAATGATTTTTTTTCTTTAATATTTTTTCTTTTTGTAAATGAGGAACATTAATAGAAAAGTTTTTTTTTTTAATTTATAGCTTTCATAACATCACAACCACTATCTTCTATCTCGATAACGCCTTTCTCTCCTGTCGAGTCGATCCCTCCTGTCGTTCCTCCACAAGAACTCCTCGACGCTCCTGTCATACTGGCGTTTGTGGCTGTCGTAATATTCCACTGGGATGGGTGGGCCTTCGTAGTACCTCGGCGGCGGGTTGTAAGCTGAAGGCGGTAAGAAGCTTGGCATCGGCGGACCATAGGGGAGAGGCGGCAGATGGAAGCTTCTCATGTAGTCAAGCGGGCTGCGCATGTACGGGGCCCTCGGATAGGGTTTCCTGACGCCACGGGAATATCCCCTTCGGTATACAAGGCTCCTCCTCATCGCATGGTCTCTGTGTTTCTGCAGGTCCCTCTCTCTTAACTTTCTTGCAAAGGCTTTCGACTTGCGTAGAATCGGGGTCAATTCGATGTTCTCATCTTCGGGAAACATCCTGCATAGGGCCCTTGCAACACGTGTTTCAATCTCTTGGCCATCTCTGCCTATTTTAACAGGCTTCCCATCATTCCATGGATTGTAGAGGTGGAGGGTGGACGTGAAAGGCAGCTCTCTACGGCAGATCCAGTCTACCTTGAACACACTGCCTAATGCTTTTGCAGATAGCCCGGGTGGCAGGACCCAAGATATTGGCGGTATGTCTCGCCTCGAGTGCCCGTTCAGTCTGGCGAAACCGGCAAACCTACCGGACTCCTTTACTGAGAATATCAGAAGAACATTTCTGCATTCATTGACTGCTTGGTTCAGTTTGACCTCGTTTTTTGGAAGCGTTGACCAGACCCCTTTCGCCTTGCTCAACGCTATGTTCTCGGCGTTGTTGCTCCTCATGACGAAAAACCTAGCATTTCTAAACAGGTAGTTCAGCTTTGTCGAGTAGTTGTAATTCCTGCTTTTCCTATCAGGGGATTTCCTCAAAGGCGTGACCTTCCTGTCCTGCGATTTCCTCTCGTTTTCAAGTCTGTGTCTTGTCCTCTTGTTCTTCCTGCTCGAGTTGCTGCTCATCGACGGAGTCGGTGAGCTGGAACTTGAAGTCACCTCGGACCTTGTGTCGTACTCCTCCTCCGAAACGTCCTCGCTCCTCGTGTCATAGTCCGACAGATCATCCTGCTTACCACTCTTATCGGCTTTCATCTTACTATCGCTGAACGTGAACACATCACCTTCGTTTCCCATCTCCTCCAAGTCCTCCATAACCTGCTAACCACAACAACCTTTATCATAAAATGGCGGTTATAAATCCTAATCAATATTTTTAAAGAAAAACGTTAAAACAATAAAATAAACTGTAAAATATATTATTCAAAAATTATCCTTGCAATAGCTGACAATCGCTTTAACTTTAATGAAATTACAACACTGCGTTTTTTTTTTGTTTTTGTTTTTTTTACTATAGGATAAGGTTTTGGTATTAAGAATTGTTGAAACATATCAATAAGTGTTTATAACATTTTTTTAAACTATAGTCAAATAGAATAGATAATAATAATTATTTTATTACAGGTGTCAAGAGGATTAAAACTTTCGTTTGATGCGACTCGATAACCTTGAAATTTGTTACCTACACCAAACTGACAACAGAACGACTATATACGGATTTTGACTGTTTTTTGGCTTTTGCATTTTTTTAACGGCGCCCCAATAGTTAAAAACAAGATTTTGCGTTTAAACACGATTAGAGCGGGTTTTTTTTTTATAATATAAACCGTGTTGTAAATTATAAATGACGGGAAAGGTCCAGATCGTGTAAAGACGCTCAGCTCATCGTCTGATTTTCCAATCTTTACACCGGCCTCTGGAAATACCCGGCCTCGGTTCATACTTACGGATGAAAAAAGGACGGAGAAAATCGAACTGGAGACTGATCCCCGTCGAAAAATAAAACGGAAAATTCTCTCTTTTTCTCACAATCTTTCGAAATGCAACACGAACACGGTATAAAAAGTAAACAAAACAGAAAATATGGCCGAGCCGAACCTCCATCCGGAACGGACATTCCTACAAATACCAAGAAACAAAATTAAATTGCCCAAAACTATATTTTCATTTTTTTTTTAATAAACACAAACAAAAAACATCCAAACAATATAAAATATGACATAAAATATAAAATGAACGCAGAGTCTACCTACATCAATGACGACATCCCTTTCACTGAAATCTGGGAGGGGCGCCATTATTTCAAAGCCTTTCTCACAAAAATTATGAAAAACCAAAAGATCAATAAATTATTATTACATTATAATTAATAAATTAGATTTGTGAAAAATGTATTAATCAGTGTGTTCTGAAATCAGGTAGTGGCTAGTAATTAATTTATATAAGATTAACTCCTCACTTACGGTCACTTGTAGGCAACACTAAAGGCTGGCTTTATGCAAAAATGTGGAAAGCAGTTATAGTCATCCAACCAGGTAATTCAGAGGCTTATTAAGCTGTCTAACAAGCTTCATTTGGGGGAGTTGAATGTTTAGACGGATCTTGGTGCCACTGGACATGGAGTAAAGGTCTTTGATGGCGATAGGGTGGGCAACCATTGGCTCTCTGATGCAAGCTTCTTCCATCAGTCGCAGTTTATCAATGTCCTATAAAAATAAGGAGGAATTCTTTGGGTACTAGGGTGGTGGTGAGAAGGGTAGATCACTCTCTCATCCACTCTCTACCTGCTCGGAGAATCACAGTCATGATGAAGTATATGCAGTTCGGAGTATAAGATCCAAGCTGGATGTAGCGGACAAGGACGATAACTGTCCTGGATGTTGCTGTGACTTATAAGTCACATCATGTCCTAGACCAGGAGGCAGACGGGAAAGTGTGTTACAAGAGACCCTCACAGCAGCATACCAGAAGCACTATGGAGCAAGGTACAATCAAGACGTCATTGGAGATACAACAGCTTCCCAAGATGCTCCTTACCCTGTCCTTAAAAGCCCTTCTCGAGAGAGACCAAAGGCGACCCGACAAACATCCACCCCAGGAACAGCCTGGAGTTGGACCTTAAGACCAACAGTGAGGAAATGAACCCACAATTGACCTGATGGGTGGGAAAATGTAAGGGCCAGGAGACCCGCATTTTCTTGGATTTAATTGGAAAAAAAAACTTTTCTCTTATGGCTACTCATAATGGACAACTTCCTACATAATGGGCTGACTAAAAGAGTTTGCAGATGACATCATAATAATAAGAATTATCGCAAAATATTTAATTTAATACTGAAATCCAGCAAGGAATAGTGATCTATAGGAAACATGGAACACAGACTTTAACTTGTCGAACTAACTATGGACAAACATTACAAAATTATTAAAGAATAAAAAATAATAATAATATAAATGAATTAACAATTCCTATTGTCATAATTTAATGATAATCTGTGAATAAATGGAATTTAGTTAAAGCTGTAGATTGATGCTGGCCAGTCCATTTGGTTGTAAAGCAAAAAAAAATTATTGTTTTCTATTTACTGTTATTATAAAGAATTATATTTTGTATTAATAAATAACAAAATCGTAAGTGTTTAAGAAAATAAACTATATTTACACAGTTAAATTACAGAATATAATAATTGTATAATTTATAAATCATAAATAATTATAAATATTGCTTGCTATTTGATACTTATATTAAAATAATACTTATTGCCTTTATTTGAGTATGAAAATTTTCCCTTTAAGCTGCTAAATCAAAGAAACGGTCAATCAATGACGCCACTTGGTCCGGTGTGTATTTGACGTACTTTTCTGGGTTTTTTGTAAAAGGTACGTTTGAAAACCTTAAAAAAAATTACAGTTACAATCGTTAATAAAATATTTTTTTTAAATATTTACTTGTCGTAAAATGCGTTGTATTTTGGAAGGATGTATTCTTTATTGTCTCGCTTCAAACTTTCCCTGAGTTCGACATCCGGTATGGAATAGGTCCTTTGTAGTTTCGATATCTCCTCAACTTCTTTGTTGAAACCTGCGAAACGCTCTTTGATGATGCCCCTGTCCTTGTCTTTCATGCGTCCAGATGTTATGACACCATCATCGATGGGGACGATGTAACTCAAAACTTTGTTCCAACTTCAAATAAAAATATTAACAAAAATTTTTTTTTTTATATTTGTATATATAAAATTTTGATACCTTAGCTGGTACGCCTTTTTATGTGCTGTTATCATGTCGAGGTACGTCTGTTCGCAATCAGGTTCGCATATTGTGACAAGGGCCAAAAGCGAAGATCGCTGAAGCGCTTTTAAAACGTGATGACAGTTGTTGAGGCGGAAAATCGCTTTAACCCCTGGTTCACTGTACCCCTCACTTTTGCTTATCAGCGTACAATTCAACTGGGATAAAACTTTTTCTAAAAAACAAAAAGTCATAATTTTACAACCAAAAAAATAACTAAAATAAGAATATTACTAATATAAACAGCAAGATGATTTTGAGATGATCCATGAGGCTTAGACAAAACAGTTTCAATCGTTTCTTTATAATCAGCAAGATTGCACAGTAGGACGAGCATGTTGCTCGTAAGTTCGGCCACTGTGCCGTCTTTTGGTAGGCCTGATGATGAATCATTTCTGAGGCTTTCTACAACCTCTTCCAATCCTTTTGCAACCTTTAATACAACAAATATTTCATTATATAAACAAATTTAAATTACGAAAATAAAAAATTCACTTACTGTAGTGTGAAGGGTGTTGAGGATTGAATTGAACTGAGATCTTATATTGTAATCGCATCCTTCGACCGCTTTTTCAAATTCAGGCTTTATAGCTGCGAGATTCTTAAGTATCGCCAGGATCATGAGAATCGAACCGAATTCATGCCTTCCTATGCTTCTTTTCGCTCTTGAAGCTATATTCTATTCAACAAAACCCAAATATCAAATAATTACAATTTTTAATTTATTTAAAAAACTAACTTCTCCATCGTGGACGATAGTATCGAGAGATTCTTGGATGATTGACTGGAAAACTTTGTGGTGATGAGACGCTGGGACGATATTTCCCATAAGGTTTCTTTCCAGAGACATCAGCTTCTGAACGGCAATGACGCACATCAGATATGATTCCATTTCCTGTTCATCAACAATATCTTCTCGATTTTCTTAAAAAATGCAAAAACAATAAAAATACAGAAGCAATTTTTACTATTTAGTTTTAATGATTTTTCTTACCGAAATTGAATCCACCAGACCTGCGGCTTCCGAGTGTCAGTCCAGTCGAGCTTTCCAAAGTCTGCGACGCTTTCAGAAGCATTTTGTTTGCTTTTTTTTCCAAAACGGCTTGCAGCCTTTTCGAAGCACTTCTACCTGATGTGTCGTGCCTGCTTTGAAACTTCGGCCTCTGAAAAAACAACAAAAAGTGAAATATTTCTAATTGATGAATTGATCAAATACGAACCATGCTGGGAGAATGGTGGCCGCTGTTCGACTTCTCCTGGTCGACAAGGTGCTTGACCGATTTGAGCATCGAGTCACTTCTGGCTCTGTGGTAAATTTCGAGCACTTGCTGGTTCCCTTGCGCCAAAAGCCAGGAGCACATTGTCGCCAGGTCTGCTGTGACACTTTCACTCATGCCCCCGAAACTCCCGACAGAAATGTCATCACCGCTCACTGAAAAAGCAATTGTATTTATTAAGACACACTAAAACAAACAAACATTGAAATTTACCATCATCAGTAGTAACAAGGTCGATTAAAGTAATGGGAGGTATTGAACGGCTGTGCTTAAGTAGCGTCTCTCTGAACTCCCTGCATAATAAATCTATTCCAATATTGAAACAAGATGACTAAAACAAACAGAAAATCAATAACAAAATATTAAAAATTTAAATATGTAAAGTCAAGATAAAAAGAGCATTAAGATAGAAAGTAGATTTGGGTTTGATCATTTGTCAGCAATTAACGAAATTGTTGTTTGTGAATGAGAGCCAATGAGTGAGACATTTGGTATGTTTGCTAAAGTAGATGAAGATGTAAATGTAATTTCAGGGTATAGTATACTGTGTCCTTTAAGAGCTATTGTATCCCCCCGTGCTCTGCCTAAAGCATATCTGTGAGTCCTATTTCATCAAGAAACTTGATTAATAGGCCCGGTTTGCTAAAGTAAGTGAATGAGAGCTAAAAAGTGTCAAATTTGGTATGTTTGTTAATGAGAGACGGTGGTAAACTAACTTGATGTTTGTGAATGAGAGCCAGTGAGTGAATAATTTGGTGTGTTACCTAAAATCAGTGAATGAGAGTTGATGAGTGTGTAATTTGGTATGAATGAGTGCATAGTGAATGAGCTACTAAATTTAATTTTAAAATCAGACCGACACTAACATGTACATAAACAGGAATCTTACCACATTCTCAAGTTCCACACTCTGAGGATTATTCTTTTCGAAATAGTTCAACGCCTGTTTGACTTTGTTCAAGACGTTGATGTAGTCGTCGAGAGTCGACGATCCTGGGCCGGCTCGGACGGTGCCATCGACCTCTTCAGCGATGCTGTAATAGCTGATGACGTTATCAAGCGAAGTTAGGGCCTTTTCGATGTCTGAAAAAATAACACGTGTAGTGGGACGTTTGTTTGATTTATCGAGGGAAAATACTTTGTTGCCTCCTCTGAAGGTTTTCAGTTTCGTTGTAGACAGGCAGTATGGTCTCTTCGAGCCTGGCGAGACGATGCTCGAACGAAGACAAGATGTTGACCATACCAGTCGTTATCTGATTGCTCTTCGCTACATTCTCCCTTATAACTTTGAGCTTGTTAAGCTCCTGGAAAACAAAAATAAATCAAACAAATAAATCCTTTCCACCATTTTTCTGGAATGTCCAGTGATTTCATGTTTAATCTTGATAATGATAAGCATTTATAATTGTCTTAATTGAACGTTTTACATTTAATTAATCTAACAACACAATTTATTTTTGGTAAATTATCAATACTTTTTCCAATTTATCCTCGATTTGGAACTTCCTCTCTCCGAGATCGGAATTCTCAAGCTTCATCATTTAAACAGCCGTCCAATTTGACATTTAACTGTTATAAAAGTATAAGGTTGACTTGCTATGCCATGGCAAGTGTATCACCTGCTGCTTCCTGCGGTCGCTCTGCATAAATTTCTATTTACAATTTTTTTTATTAAAAAGTAATTTTGCTTTTAAACATTTCATTTTGATACAAGTCCCTCTATTGCCTGATTATTTTTTGGCAAGATTATGAAAATGAAACTGAATTATAAAGGTTCAAGTTAAATACTTCATGCCAATAATTTCAAATTTTATATGCTTCCATTTATTGGTTTGTACTTTGCTGTGTTGTTTGTATTTTTTAGTATGTGTTGTCTTTTGAAAATCAGTGAATTAGTGTTCTGTGTGTAATTTTACAAATAATTCAATGAATTTGTATGTTTTGTAAGCAATGGATGAATGTTAGTGTGTTTTTTAAATTGATATTTATAATTTGTTTTTTGTAACAGTGTGTCATAAATGTTTATTCAAGAATTTAAAGTATTTATTCATGGATCAAAAACGTCAAAAAGTGGCATGCTTCTTCAGAAACTTTATGTCCGATCGTAGGATTATAAACCTGGAAATGGTTTGCTAAGCCAAATTCAGAGATCCTAAGATGATTAGCTGACTGTTCTACCAAAAATGCTTCAGACTAGATGTAGTAGGTCTGAATAAAGCAGTTAACACCACAAAGAAACTGAATCAACTGGCTGAAAAGTTCAAAGGCAATCACTAAGCTGTGCTTTAAAAAAAAAGTTACAGTGATGTCCCATGGTTGAACAATGAACTCAACAGACTAAGAGCTAAAACTCAAACATCTTTCAGTAGGGCAAAAGTAACAGGTAATGAGTCCTAGCGAAACCCAAAGGAAAAACATGAAATCAAGGGTTGGACAACTTCCCATTGTGACCAAAACACAGAAAATTCCAAAGAAAGCACCCAATCAACACTGGTTTTATTTTAAAGGCAGTTGAGTGCAGAACCCATAAGGAGAAAAGCATGATATCAGTTCATTTCCCAGGTTAAAATGTATTGAATGCAATGCTGAGTTCTTTAAAGAATGGTGGAAAAACTGACAAGCTTCAAAACAGCAAGCGCTCTCTCAGGAATATAATAAATCCCAGCAAAATTAAATGGGCAATTAGTTCTTTTATCTATATAAATCACAGGAAGAGGTAACCCCATGCAGTAACAAGCATTGGATCCCTGGCAAATCCTGGATAGCATTTTTAAGTCCAGCTATGAACTAAGCATATATACAAGAGATATATGGTGAAAGGAAGTTCACCAGATTCGGCAAAACCAGTACAGGCCATAAGCCCAACTTTATTTTTCTAAAAGGCAATAGTGAAAATTGTAGATCAAGAGATTAAGAATAATCATCTTGTAAAAAAAATCCCTCCAGGCCCTACCAAAAGGGCAAACCCAAAGACTGTCAAAATATATTCTGAAAAAAAAATGTTATCCTTTTTAATTACATTTACACTTTATGTGTCTTGCCATCTTCTTTCAGCAAGTCATTCATTTTTCTTCTCTTCAAAAGAGATGATGTTTGTAGATAGGCATCATTTGTTTGGAAGCTATCACAAAAATGTTTTCCAACCTCATTTTGTACCATCAGAAATATTCATAACTGACAATTACTAAATGAATATCAAGATGGCACCCCATGAAATTAGGTACAAAGGTAAAAAATACTCTAAACATTGTAGAAAAATGGTGTGAGAAAATGGGTTTAAACATAACCCTAAGAAAACACATATCATAACTTTTACAATAAGAAGGAAGCCAAACCTAAAATCACCCACTATAAAAGAGAAAGACGACTTTCTTCAAAGAAACAAAGTACCTCAGACTCAAGAGGAAAACAATATACAGACAAAATTCTAATTAAAGCCAAGACTACTAAATGTTGGCTAGATATTATGCCACTGAAAAAACAAAATCTAAGGAATAAATCTCCAGGATGGCATATTGCATATACACCACAATGACCAGACCTCAGTTCACTTATGGAGCTCAAGAGTAGTGACCAAAAACACTGAACAAGTAGACTTAAAACAAACTACTAGCATGTATTAATGTAACATGGACAATGTACACTTGCTCCACAACTGCCTCGATCGTCCACCCTTACATATTTATTATAAAACGTGACTTTTGAGAGTGCCAACTGACTCCTGACATAAAAGAAAATATAGACAGATCTATGTGAAAGCCATTGCAAAATTCTGGAGAGAATTAAAATAAATGTGAGGATGAGGGGAAAACTTTGACAGACCCTTCCAAGCCTTTTTAAAAAGATAGTTCCTACTCACTGTAAGTGTCATCTTACTGTGAGTAGGAACTATCTTTTTAAAAAGGACTGAACACTGCACTCACTCCACCATTCATCATTTCTATGATCCTTCCAAGTGGTCATAGATAATACCTTTTGAATAAAGGCATGTTTCACAAGAAAATTGGTGTGAGCAAGATGGGACTAAAACCTTGTTTTCAGGTCAAGGTTTTGTTTGAGGTCTTCTGACGACTGAGAGACGGTTTGGAGAAGAACAGGAGACCGAAATATCCCTGATATATTTTCACTTCAAAGAAGCTATGGAGGAGTGGTGTTAAGGTTTGGGCAGGCAATTATGTGGAAGGTCATACAAACACAATAGCACGATACACTGAAGATGTGCTATCAGAAGTTTTCCTATAAGCCACTAATTAACGACGGTTTTATTTTTAGGCGCGACAATTCAAAGACTCACACAGATCGGATTGTTGGTGACTACTTGGAACAGACTTCAATTCAATGTTTGGAGTGGCCAGCCCCGATTTAAATCCCATCGAACACCTTTGGGACAAGTTGTCAAAAAGAGTAAAAATTCACCCAGTTATACCTGAGAATTTGCAGAAATTTAAGAATGGAGCTGTTGGAGTAGTATGAAAATATTTGACAGCACTATATTCAGAACTTTGTAAAATCGATGCCATGTCGAATGCAAGCGGTAATCAATGCAAGAGAAAGAAATACTCTGTACTGAATTGAATATTTTCTTCATTGTTTCCATAACAAATTTTTACTAAAATTGTTTTAATCAGATTAATTTTTTTATTTAAAAAGAGAAATAACTATTGCAAATCTTAAGTAAAAAAAGGGTAACTAAGGGGGGAGTGGTTTTTGTCTCTCAATACACTCATGGCACATCGCTATTTGTCCTTTTCTTAATGTGTTACAGCTTTTGTAAGCTTGACTTGTGTTTTTGTTGTTTTTTGTGAAATAGCGAGTACACGCGGACCCATTTGAACCGGCGAGGGAAACGCCGCTGGGCCGTTCGTGCCTTTCCGTCCGACGACCACCCCTTCCACCGACGGCCGACCATCCTGCCATCTGCTGTCACGACCGGTTTTCCAGTCGGGTTTTCGGGTTGTTGACTGGGCAGAGGACCCAGCAGCTCTGCCACAGTTTGTTTATTCCTCTCACTCGGGGGAAGAAGAATAAATATTTTTTTTTGTTGAGAAAATCCCGCATTCCGGTCGGAAAATGTAGCGGGCGTAGAAGTGGAAGAATACTAGTGTAGAGTGCCGATCAGGAAGACGAAGTCCGGGCCGACAGTGATGATCAACAGTGGGAAACGGACTTAAAAAGTTTTCTGGATTATAAACTCGACTGATTTCTTCACCGAGTAAGTATGGACATATTTATTTTTTGTTTTAATTATATATATACAATTTTTTTGTTGAATCGACTGGTGAACGTCTTGACTTTTTGGACCCTTTCACGGGGTAGTAGACACTAATTACACCGCTTCCTCTATTTGCTCCAGTTGTTTCGGATCCAATTACAACAGTACTCCTCGGTCTCGAGGAAAGATCATTTTTTCCTTTAACTTGGGAAATTGAATTTAAAAAATTGAACGCTTTTTTTCCACCGAAAATTGGCTTTTCCCCTTCGGGAAACGCTCGCGCCGCCGGGGGATGGAGGAGGTGATAGCCCAGGAGAGAGAAATCGATTTGGCCCCACCCGCCCCTTGTTCGTTTCCGACCGACGTCGAATTATTACGACGCTACGGCATAATTTAAAAAAACAAAAACTAACATAAAAAAAATCCATAAGAATTATGGAGAAAGGGGGATTATTTACGGAGAAGGTCCGATCTTATGAAAGACGGTCGCGTGTCCGTTAATCCGCACCTTTCTTACAAACCTTTGCAACATGGGGAGGGAGATTAAAACCTTACATATTTTTTATGATTATTGTTTTTGTTTTTTTTAAGAATAATTATAAAGGAAAAACATTCTCCATCCTTTCTTGCAAACGGTACCGAAGTCCACTGTCAAGTGCACGCGTTAAGCACAAGGTCGGCACACTTCGATAGTACGAAAGAAATCTCTGCCCTGGAAAAAACTTCGTGAAGTTACACGTCGAACCTTGACAGCGTGGTGTTTACATCTCGTAACTGTCAAGTTTAAGGATGTTCTTCACATCGATACATAACAATTAAATTTCAACATTAATCATTTTGAATTTGTAACGTTTTTTGTTGTTTGTTACGAAATTGTAGGAGTTTTGATTGTTTGTCGTTTATCGATGGGCTGAAGGTACATTGAGATTGTGCAAAATTGGTTCTGTTGGTGCATTTGGCAGAAACTTAGGACTTTTAAAGTCTTTTTATGTCCATCGGATAAGTCGTGGCAGCACGTAAGGTAAGATCGTCATTTGGACTCACATCCCGATTCTAAATGCGAAAATTAGAAAGTATTCCATGTTATTGTAATATAATAGCGTTTATGAAGGGTTGAAGGTCCGTGGGATTATGCAAGATGGCGAGGTGATCTTTTGGTTGGTCGTATTTAGCTGAAAGTTTGTACATCTGTGTATGTATGTCTAAATATCGCATGTGTCGGTTTGGTGGCATGACGGTATGTCCAGTGCCAACTGGTTGACCCATCAGGTTCATGAAAAATAGAAGTATGAAGGTTACAATGGTCTTCACGTTCTACCATTGTCCTAGAAACAAATATTGCATTTCCCGTCTTAAATCAAATCTCACAAATTAACATTTCCGAGTTAGTGTTAGTTTATTTGGATTTTATGGTGAAGGTCCATGGGATTGTGCAAAATGGTGAGGCGTTCTGTTGGATGGTTATATTTGGCTGTAATTTTGTACATTTGTGTATGTATGTCTAAATATCGCATGTGTCGGTTTGGTGGCATGACGGTATTTCCAGTGCCAACTGGCTGACCCATCAGGTTCATGAAGAATAGAAGTATGAAGGTTACAATGGTCTTCACGTTCTACCATTGTCCTAGAAACAAATATTGCATTTCCCGTCTTAAATCAAATCTCACAAATGAACATTTCCGAGTTAGCGTTAGTTTATTTGGATTTTATGGTGAAGGTCCATGGGATTGTGAAAAATGGTGAGGCGATCTGTTGGATGGTTATATTTGGCTGTAATTTTGTACATTTGTGTATGTATGTCTAAATATCGCATGCGTCGGTTTGGTGGCATGACGGTAAGTCCAGTGCCAACTGGGTGACCCATCAAGTTCATGAAGTACGAAGATTACAATGGTCTTCACATTCTACCATTGTCCTAGAAACAAATATTGCATTTCCCGTCTTAATTCAAATTCCACAAATGAACAATATTTCCAACTTAGTGATGGTTTATTTGGATTTTATGAGAAGGCCCATGGGATTGTGCAAAACGGTGTGGTGATCTTTTGGATGGTTATATTTGGCTGAAATTTTGTACAGTTGTGTATGTACGTCTAAATATCGCATGTGTCGGTTTGGTGGCATGTCGGTATGTCCAGTGCCAACTGGCTGACCCATCAGGTTCATGAAGAATAGAAGTATGAAGGTTACAATGGTCTTCACGTTCTACCATTGTCCATTTAAGAAATACTGCATTTATCGTCCAAATTCAAATCCCACAAATGAAAAATATTTCCAAGTTATCATTGCTACAGTTGGATTTAAAGGTTAAGGTCCTCGGAATGGATATTCCCTAGATGGAAAGGGATATTTTGGATGGTGCATTTGACTGAAAGTTGATATTTCATTGTCGGTCATTGGTTCTATGTCCATTGCCTCTTGGATACGTCAGGTTTGTTACATAAGGACTAGATTAGAATGTTCCTCTCCTTCGGTTTTAAGGACTTTTAATTCGTTTTGAATATTAGAACCGTTAGTCAGTTTGGTAACTTAATTTGTTTTATTTCCCTCTGCCCTTTGGTTACATCAGATTTGATATGTAAGGACGAAGGTCCTTTTGCTTTAAGGCTTTGGCCAGGAAATAAATACTGCATTTCTTAACCTGATTCGGATGCTATAAATGAAAAGTATTTTCAAGCTATTGTTGGTGTAATTGGATTTATTATTTATCGATGAGATAAAGGTCGTCGAGATGCTTTTAGATAATATTTTGAGCAGAAATTTGAACTTTTCGTATTAGGTTTAGGCATATTTAGGGTTCAATTTGAATCGTTTAAAATTTATATTTGTCAGATACTTTGGTATATCAATCGTCATCTCGATAGCCCATCAGGTTGGTGAAGGACTAAGAATTAGCTTCCTACTCTTCCTGTTGATAGATGGAATTCGAAAATGGCAACCAAGTTGTCGTGTAATATGATTTATAAGCATTTTTGTGAAACGAAAGTCCGTGACCTTCAAACTTTGGCCATAATGCGGAAAGTCCAACTCTGATCCAAGGAACTTAGATTTATCGTTGAGATTTCTGCCAAACTGGTCAGCCTGGAAGACTGGTGGCATGTCATAAATGAACAAGACAGAAAATTTTCTCATTTATGTGTGGTGATTAGTGACCGTTAATCGATATTTATTTAGAAATCGTGAGATGCGGTCTGGTGTGATGTAGGTTTCAGAATAACACTTTCTTTATCGTGCCAACGTTTCGATCTTTATTGAGATCATCTTCAGGGCTCAAAGTGTTTGTCTTCTGTGTAATTGTGCCGTTCTTGCGTGTCGTGTCGAGAGTGCGACACGCAAGAATGGCACAATTACAAAGACAAACACACCGCATTTCACGATTTCTAAATAAATTTCTCATTTATGGAGGAGGGGTTGAATTTTTCTTGGAAAGAATAAAAGAAAATTTCTTCTTGAACGTTATCACTAAACTTTGTGACAACTATGTTTGTATTCAGACAGGAACAAACTGTTAAAACAATAGGGGGGGAAAGATTCGATAGTAGATGGAAAGAGAGTAAAAAAATAGTTTAAACTACACAAAATTTCCGATAAAGTTTTTGACTGGGCTAAAGTAAAAAACAAAACAAAAACAGTCAATTGAAAATATTCTGCTGCCTTATTTCGAGAATTATTGTGAGCCCAAAGTCCACACCCAATAGATTTACTGATCGGAGTATTCGCTCTAATGAAATTCCACTGGAAATACGTCAACGATCGTCATCGAGTGCAGTTCAAACAGATTAAACAAATTTCAGAACACAAATTCAAATATTAACCGACTCGTGATGATTTTTCAATCCTGTTAATATCTATTTTTACATTAAAAAAATTAATCCTAAAAAGAAGCCAGTAAGATTATTAGAAATTAATTTAATTAGAGAATGTCGGGGGGGGACTTGAATTTACAGGCTTGCTTTGAAATATGAGTATGATAATTAAAAACTGATATTTAGGGAATTAAGTAGAAAAATATCTTCTGATATTAAGACAAATTGCTAGCTAATTTGGAAGTTAAGTATATTCATTTATATGGATGCCCTAACTTGATTTAAAAAAATACTTCTTTTGCAAAGTCCATGGTATTTAGACGTTCATTTTTCAGACTCAGATTTATAGAACTGATCCTTGGTTTATTTAATTTCGTTATTAAAAAAAAGTGTATTTTGTATATATATCTGAGCAAATTGTCGTGTGTTTGAGAAACGTTGAGTTTTCTCGATTCTTTTACTTGCAAATGTCGGAAACAAGGTCGTTTTAATGTTTCCTCTAAGTGTTTTCAGATTGTGACCAAGTTTTTAAACAAATAAGCCAAAATTCGTCGATCCCTGTTGATCGATTCGCGAAATATTAAACGAAACGTGTCCTTCATTAGGCAGATTTCATTTTGATTTGTAACATTTGTATGTATACATATGATTTGTATATATACANATAGAGAGAGAGAGAGAGAGAGAGAGAGAGAGAGAGAGAGAGAGTGAGAGAGTGAAAGAGAGAGAGTGGAAAAAACGAAATTTACCAAACAAAGTTTCTTTTTCTTCCTCTCCCTTATTTTTTGGCTCCTAGGACTTCAACGAGAGATTTAAATTGATGCCGGCCTATTCAGCACTGATTGTTTTATGCACGTGTGCAATAAAAAAATGTCCAAATCAAAATAAGATACCCATTTTGAAAAACACGTTTTGTTTCATATTTTGTCAATGGATCAAGAAGTTTGGCTTAATTGATTAAATAGCCTGTTGCTAATTTATAACAAAAACTTAGTGTGAACTTATACTAACTTAAAACTACATGGTGTTGGCTGTTTCTAACATTTACAAGTGAAAATATCCAGAAAGCCCAGATATTTACAAAAATCCGACGATCTGTTAAAAAATAAAACAAAATACACACTTTCCTGTTTTCATCTAAATCTAATTCGGTTTAAATGAAGCCAAGGATCAGTTCTATCAGTTGCTAAGGAT